AAAGAACTAAGAACATAGATTTTTGAGATAAAATCAAGAATAAATATAATTTACTCATAGCTATCTATATATAGGTATGATATTGCAAGATGAAATGAATTTCCAAAATGAGGGTGATGTCGCACGAGTTTGGTTGACACCTGTATTTGCCATGTGTTATGATGAATCAACTAAAGTCTAGTAATGTTTATTACATTAAAAGAGCATGAGATTGTTGCACTAACCTCCCACCCTACCATCTCAACTCCTAAGTAGTTCATCCACGGAGAAACCGTGGATTGGTTCCTTTATCATCAAGTCGTGCTGCCACAATTTGCTTGGCACTCTGTCGGAACCCGGAAAAGCCCCCCCCCCAAAAAAAAATCAAATAACATGATAAAACGGAATTGCACATGATAATATCTTAAACCATGATGAGAGACTCACATTCTTCCGTTTATAATCAGCTTCTAATTGAACACTAATGGTGTGGGGCGCTACTCACATTCCTAAGCAGTATGTTTGGGTTGTGCAAAATGATGTGATCGGTGGTTTTCCTTCTAACGGATCAAAATGAACGAAACGACCTAGAGTAAAATAGTGTGTTAAAAATTATAATTACTGAAAGTGCACATCCAACACCGAACTGTTCCATTAAGTATCCTACATGCTAGTCGAAATCATCATTGATCTTTTACAGATGAGAAGTTTCGTTCTATGCAATCCAATTTATGGATACTGTTATCGTTGTTCGTAACAAAGAATTCTCCTCAAGCCGGCACAAGTATTTTGGAACTATAACATTAGTAATGTATATCATAATTTGTATGTGCGTAACAAATTGAACTATCAATATATAAAAACTAGCAGCCTTTAGAATGCAGTTAATGTCTGTTACTCACGTAAAAGATTAATGGATTGGAAGTTTAAAGTTTATATTGTCCGGTGGACGTGCACTAATGATGAGCGCCAGAGAGAGCAAAACTTGATCCAGCTTCCCAGTTGACTGGATGCACTGTAAATTTTATGTGCAGATGCTGCCGGAAGAATGGTCAGTCCGAATCGTTTCTCACGAGTGAGTGTGAATTAAATGTGGCTCATAAAATATGTATTTAACAAGCTCATGAGGACGTAATGAACTCACTTAGTCTTCTGTACATTCCCGTCAAATTTCAGCAACGATTCCTTTTTCACCATAAAAAAGGCTGATGATTCAGTCACTCTATAACCCATACTGTCTTCTAATCACTCTGACATTATCGTACCCCAATAGTATTTCATTTCAGTTTTACCTACCTAATACACCGAATGATTTGCTTTTAAACTTCACTCCTTCGCTCGTCAGATCAATGTGCTCCAACAGATGTCCAACGTTTACGCCTATCCCTTGCTGGCTGAGAAGCTTGCTGCCAAAGCTCTGCGAGTACATGGCTTCTGGTTCAGTGTCCATGCAGGTCAAATGTATGTGTACAATCCGCAGAGAGAAGGTTTTGTACCAATCACAGAGGAGACCCTGGCTGAATTGGTTCGCGAGTCCGCCAAATAGATGCTTGCATCGCCATCAAAGAATGTTTTTTCCAGTTCGAATGTAGCTAATCAGTTTAAATTCTTCGTGTTCTGCAGAACATTCTTTGTCAGCTGGTGTCTTTTGTTACACACTGTTTTTGCCGTATACACAGCCTACCGAAAAACAGAAAGGTCTGTGAAGAATCTTCAATCCTTTATACAGTATTTAGTGGTACCGTAATCATGCAAAATCCCATATATGTTTTTCTCCTTTTCAGTAATTCTATTTCTACTTTCGCGATTTCTTCAATGTCAGATATTTTTCTACACTCTCATTAACTTTTGAGAGTTCAATGACCTATCGGCGATATTTTGGAAAAAATTGGAATAATAAACAACGGATTTTAATTTTTTATTGGATATTTTCCATTTCTATGGCAATAGCAAGAATAGGAAGAGAAAGCGGTATAAGCTTTTGTGGTCAGTCTCCGTATCTAACATTACAATTCTAACGGAAAATATTCTTCTCCTCTCTTGAAATTTCTCCTCTTGCTTCAAACCTGAATCTGTGAACCTGGACTAATTTCTAGAGCAGTTTCGCAAATAATAACCTAACAACTTGGGTTGGAATGTGGTCTCTCTCTCGAACAATCAAAATGAAAAAAGGTCTGAAATGGTGCAAATTTTACGCTCATCAGTGTCGACCGGGTAGATTTTCAACACTATTCATGCTGCAACGGACGGGATTTGGAGTTTGAATGATCGAATACGGATATTACGCATATAATCGCATATCTCAATCCTTGCATTTGTCGTCCACCGTCTGTTAATACGGACGCCTTGATACCTTGGTTTTGAAAAACAAGGTTCAGATAATGTGGACTTATATCGTAGCCAGTGCTCAGACTATAGTCTGTTCCTCGAGAGCATGAAACTCAGATGCCCACAGTTAGTTAGCGTAATCCATCTCCGTTGCAGATTTAGCCACAGACTGATTACACAGCGCTCAGCTGTTGGGAATGATAATGTGTGAAAGACAACTGTCCGTACTGTTCTATCTGCGCAAACTCGAACACCGCACTGGGTCATTCGGGAACTCCTGTATGAACAGATAACAACTATCAAGATTCCAGATTGAACGGTGGTCATCAACTGTCAAAACCAGTATGCCATGAAGTTACCAATCAATGTAGAATATCCTAAGGCCGTTACGTGGTTGTGGCCTAACTCGACAAGCTGTAAGATCTTTGGTTCCCTATGGCTCTATTAAGCTCTTTCAAGTGCTTTGAACGACCACGGAGGACAGTGAGTATCAGTAATAGCACTTCTGTTTGATTTGTGAGCTCACAAAACCTTTAGAGTTTACTATGAGTATTGGCGGATGCTAGAGATAGGGGAGTTGCTATGTCCGGGAACATCAGGTGGCTCTTACAACATATTCTTGTTACCTCCTCTCCCCCCGCCTCACTCCCGGAAAAGTGTGTCAGCAAAAGATTGTGAAAATGAACGGCATACCAATGAACAATGTTTATCTACGCTTGCAAAAGTTGACAAAGCCTTTCGCGTGGCAGTTCAATCAGACTCGTTCACTAGCTACCCCCAGTTGTTTTCCAAAACGTCTACTCCAGTTTCTCTTCACTAAACTGCTTGCATAGTTAGAGACCCCAAAAAAGTTTCACTCACTGAAGTTCTGTGAGGTGCCTAGATTAAAGAACTTACTACGGTGCCTTTTCAATTCTAGGGAATACGTTCTACTGAGGAAGCTCAAAGGATAGCTTTCTCCACCAATCTGTCTGACCTATGTCTGTGTTTACATAGTACAGAGCACTGAAAAGGTATGTTCATTAAGTGGGTATATCATGACGTGATGTCATGGGACGAAGATAAGGTCGTCCAGGCTGATTTCATGCAGGAGTATCTCGGTCTACAATCTACACAGATCTACACAGTAGTTGAATGGATTTATGAGGAAATGCATCATTTTTCTCGAAATAATTGGCATATCGAATTGTCTTTTTTATCGCCGTAATGTTTTATCTCTTCTTTCAGACTTTATGTTAGATCACAAAATTTGACTGGTACAAAATACATTCGGTCGGTCGATTGGATATACATGTACATGTACATGTTTCCTGATCGTACAATTGGCACTTATTCAAAACGTCTCTTGGTAAACTAAGTGGTTGTTTATTGAGGCAGTGAACTAAATTAACCGAAATTGGGCAACAATAAACAAAACATGTAAACTGAACACAAATATTTACTTCTCCAGATGATCCTCGGCCGGATGGGAGTTGAACGATATAACGGTTTGTTCAGAAAATTCTACACAATACTACTGGCATATTCAGTAAGATTGTCGCAATGAAATCCACGTTCAGCTGGACGGGAAATAATGGTTTCTGGTGGGAAAGTATTAAGATGATAATTTCATGCATTGATAGCACGAACGGTGATAGAGAGGCGATGTATGTAAATATCATTTCGGTCTGTACGTCAGGTTTTCGAATCTCGTTACCGTCTAGTACTTGCCGTTCTTCGTATCAGTTCATTGGTATTTCTTCGAATGACTATTACCTTATTTCTGAAGATTTGTTGCACCATAGCAGTTCAATGATGGTAAGGCTTCACTATCGTAATTAGTCGATCATAGGCGGGGAAACCCATAGTTACGAGATTCTGCGGTTACTGGTGAAAACCGGTAACCGAAGCCCTGGGACTTAAAGTGGTGAATCACTAAAGGCCCCATTAGTTTAGGCATGGTATTGACCGGAAAGACAGAGAGGCTGCCAAGCACCAAAGTTGATAGCCAACGGCGGGTCTCGCAACTCAGACCACAGGACCCAAAACAGGCCGGTTGCAGCTATTTAAACCGTTTGATCATCACAGTCTTTCACTTGAGGAACTTCATTTCGAGTCCCAGTGCATTTCGTGGTTCTGATCGTTCAAAAGAGAGATTTACTCAGATATCGAAACCTTAGAATGCTTTTCCACGTGCAACCTAACCCCTCAGGAGGATTCTGTCTATAAATAATCATCAAAACACTTCACTCTACTTGTATAAAATACCATCACCGATTCCCAAGCTATCTTGAATATTCTCAATACCTACGGTTTGTATCCAGTTTTGGTACGTTAGCTTTATTGTGAGTTCCTCATTTGTGTCATTGTTGTACCGTTGTTTAAGTGAGGATGAAGATGCAGGGTTTTATTACAGAAAGCACTTGGTTAACGTTAAAATCATGTACCTATGAATTGGAAATTCAGCTGTCACTGAAAGCTTCATACCTTGGCCAATTATTCATTGTTATATATCAAAAGTTCCCCACTTTTCTTGACGATGAATTTCCAGCTGGTCCTCTGGTTCTCGCTGAAACGTGTGGTGCTCCTTCACCTTCTGACAACTCATGTACCTTCCCCATAGATAAAAAGACAAATCGAGTAAAGTCGAGAAACACTTTGTACCCCCTAAGGGTGAATTTTCAACAACTTATTTATGTAAGCGGCTTATGTTGCCTGATCCTCCCTCGCGCAGAATAATATCCAGCTCTGAGTCCTTGTCCGTTTACCCAGCGGCACAATTTAAAATAACCACTCAGTCACGTTTTATATATGGATTTGGATGCCTGGTAGTGGTACAACCTTAGAAGCTCTTGGAAGTGCGTTATGGCAAAGAACTGAACACAAATGTTCCTAACAATACAGGGCAAATGTAGATTCAGAAGTAGCTAAGCGACTGTTGAGTCGGATGCCAGTGAAAAAAAATCCATGGATAACGTAAAATGGATGGCAACGAATCAAACAAAACTTGAGAGCCTGAAAATCACTTGAGTTGATTTTGGCTGATGTCACTTTTGAGAGTGCATTCGTTCGGATTTATGCCATCCGTGATGATTTCTTGATTCGACAGGAACTCACGTGACTGAAACATTCCGGGAATAGTGTGCGAATCTTGGATCGTGCGGTCAAAATCATCCACCTTTTTGTGACTGGTTCTTTCCACATAAAGTGTTCTATTCAATTCGATCAACTTTGTGAAACTATGATCCATTTACACCTATCGGTAAGAATTTGAAGTTCCTAATCAAAACTCCCTGGAGGTGTTCAAATGCTACCCCCTTCCCCCAAATTAGCCTGTCACTTATGCTGCTGAAAATAGAAAGAAGCAAGTTATACTAGTGAGTATCATTCTTGCCTTCTGCCTATGAGGTTCCGAGTTCGATCCCCAGTTGGGTCGATCGATTTGCACTGCTAATAAAACCCAACCAGGTCGAAACAGCTGTCCAGTGCTTCCAAGCTTTTCAGTTCACACTTCGTTTGCTCTATACACAACGAATTTCCTTATTAAATCAGAAGAACTTAATATTTAGTTTTCCGATTACAATCAAGAAACTTCATTATTAATCCAACTTACACGGAAACCAGTTGTGCTAGAAGGGAAGGGAAAAATTTGTTTTACAACAGGCCGCCATAATAGAACCGGCATTACTGCTATTCATGTTTTGTCTCATCGGATTTACCTGGTGCTCTGTGGATGCAGCACCATTTGAAAGTTGTCAAACTTGGTTAATAATTCTGGCTTTTGCGAAATACAGTGTTTGAGTGATTTTTTGCATGTATGCAATTGTCGGAATAATCCCACGGAGCACATTTTAAACAAACCAACATAGAGTGTTAAACACCCCCCGATTTTCCCTTGATTCGTATAAATGCCAATACATTACAATATAAATGTATAAACCACTACTTTAGAATAAAATCATCTTGAGCAAATCAAATCAATTCACACCACATGATAAATTATTAGAACTGATCACCTCGATGTTTATTCTCTTATCCGATCATCGAGATTAATCGTGCTGCTGTGTGTGTTAGAGCTGGGTAGGCCTGAGAAGCTTGTGTGTCTGCATAATTTTTCTGTGCGCACAGGAGGTTGAGCAAACGAATTTCCTCCACTTCTGCTGTGACTACCATCCGACAGTGGACTGGCCTTGGTAAGAGCACGCAAACTTTGTTTAGGGGTTGAAAAGCCTTGTTCAC